AGAGAGACATCATTTATAACTTCTATCCTGGCAACAAAGCAGAGTTAACTCTGGCAGCCCAGGAGAGCTTTCAAATGATTGCTCGTACCAAAGACGTCTCAGTTAAACAAGCAACTGCCCTAAACAGCAATCAAGGTCTAGCAAATATATTCAGTATAAATTACACAAGTAATCAATTCTGCAGAGCAAAATTGGCTTACATATAACAGTAATTTTAAAAAGCTGCTATGTTTCTTAGAAATGATCCCTTGTCAGTAGTCAGCTGTCGCTAAGAACAGTGGCACAAGGACAATCCAAAAGGCAAGAATTGTTCCAGAAGAATGTCCCAGGGCCTCTTAAATAAACCTCCTCAAGAACTCTCTAGGAAAACTGTGGTGGAAAGAGACCCCGTCATCAGGAAAGGAAACAGGCAAGTAAACAGCTCAGGCTCTACAAAGAAATCAGATGAACTGGATGGAGAAACAGATTAGAATTGGATGAACAGCTGGAGGAGGACTTCAGAAAGCAGGCTAGAGAGGCAGTCAAACAGGAGAAGCCTGCAATTTCAAGCCATTGACCACCCTTGTACTAGTAGCAGGTTAACAGGTTAAGCTAATAGCAAGCTATTTAGCCTCAGCAGACTGAAAGCCAAAACCAAGGTCACAACAACATCTGTTATAGAACTCCAATATGCTGATGACAACGTAATCTGTGTGCATTCAGAAGAAGACCTACAGGCCACTCTGAACACCTTTGCAGAAGAATATGAGAAGCTTGACCTGTCATTGAACATCAGTGAAACCAAAGTGCTCTTCCAGCAGTCACCAGCCAATCCCTCTGCAATGCCAGAAATACAGTTTAATGGTGTAACATTAGAAAATCTTGACCATTTCTGCTAACCTGGCAGTCACCTCTCCAGAAAAGCCAACATTGACACTGAAATACAATACTGTCTGAGCTTTGCGAGTGCAGCATTTTTCCGAATGAAGCTGAGAGTGTTTGAAGACCGGGATATCCATAGCAAGACCAAGGTGCTTGTTTATAAAGCTATTGTCCTCCTAACCCTGCTATACTCCTGCAAAACATGGACTGTCTACAGGCGTCACACTCAACTACTGGAACGATTCCATCAGTGTTGCCTCTGAAAAATCCTGCAAATCTCTTGGGAACAAAGGCAGACAAATGTCAGTGTGTTGGAAGAAGCAAAGACCACCACCATTGAAGCGATGCTCCTACGCCATCAACTTTGCTGGACTGGCCATGTTGTCCGAATGCCTGCTCACTGTCTCCCAAAGCAGTTACTATACTCCCAACTCAAGAATGGGAAACGTAGCATTGGTGGACAGGAAAAGAGATTTAAAGATGGACTCAAAGCCAACCTTAAAAACTGTGGCATAGACACCGAGAACTGGGAAGCCCTGGCCCTCGAGCTCTCTAACTGGAGGTCAGCTGTGACCAGCAGTGCTGCAGAATTTGAAGATGCACGAATGGAGGGCAAAAGGGAGAAACATGCCAAGAGGAAGGCACATCAAGGCAACCCTGAGCAGGACTGCCTTCCACCTGGAAAATGATGTCCTCACTGCAGGAGAACATGGGATCAAGAACAGGGCTCCACAGCCACTTGTGAACCCACCACCCATACACTAAACTTGGAGGACCATCATCCTCGGGCTACAAGGGATCGCCTAAGTAAGTAAGTAAGTAGCAGGAACTTCCCAATGCAAAACTTGTCAGGATTTCCCCAGAGAGTTGCTAAGGATTCCAAGCAGCGAGCTATGATCGCAAAACATAATTCAGTCATACCATGTCAACAAATAGCAAGACTTAATTTGCAGATATTGATGGCCCCTGTGTGATCACATACTTATATCCCACAGCCTAATGAAACTGAAGATATTGTTGTGTGGAAGCATCCATGTGGGAGTTTACTCCACTTGTGTAGTTGCAGCTACTGGAAAGGACTACAGAGGAAAATGTCTTTACTCTAAGTTCCTCCCAGCCATAGGATTGGATTATTACCATTTTCCTGGGAAGATCATACAGATGCTGCCTAAGTTTTAGCTCAGGCGAGCCCAGGAACTTCTCCAGCCCTGGTTGTACACACAGCTTCCTTGATTCCCAGCCCAGCTTCTGTGGTTTGGGAATATGTTATGTCCGTGAAGACTCAGAAATCAGCCTGTGGGAGCATTTTCCCAAACTTGTACGAGGTGCAATTACTCTCCAGGACTTGGAAAAAAACACAGAAAATACCGTACATCCCCCATATTCGTAGGGGATATGTTCTCGGAATTTACATGGAAAGTGCAGTTAATAGAAAACCCTACTGAAATTGAGGACTTTGGTCCAAGAATACTGTGGAATTGCACTGGAGGATTTAGAAAATGCCCTGAGAGGACATGTTTTTCAAATGTGGATAAATGAAACCAGTCCCATTTGGCATTTGTTCAGTTTTTTTAAGTACCGAGAAGATTCTTTGTTTCAAATATGTAGATTTTGATATATGACCCCAAACTTGCCAAAATTATCGCAGATCTATTAAATATATTATATCAAATATTTGCTTGTTTAAGAGGCTATCAAGAGTAAAATTACCTCATGTCAAATAAAATTTGATTTAATCTTCTCTGGCATTCACCTCATTTGACCACAAATAAATAAGGTCTTTGACCATCTTTATTTGGCCATCTTTATTTGGCCATCCTTAACCCAGGTACTAACCTCATAATGTCAACATTTTAACTTAACATCAGTTAAGGATCTATGACCACAACAATGTCTAAAATGTTAAGCATGAATGGATACAAATTGTATTGCCAACAAAAGTAACTGTGTTAAAAATTTCCAGGCTGGGTCTGTTAACTCTACAATTCTAGTTGCCAGCTGAAGCTGAGAAGAAATTTCTGCGGAAAATGATTTTTATTAACCACATATTTTACATATTTATATTTAAGAAATGCAAAGTAAGATTGAAAGAAAAAAAGAAGACAAACTTAAGATTCAAAAAGTTTGAAGGTCATCAGGAAAGAGCATGGAAGAAATATATGTGTGTGTGTGTGTGTGTGTGTGTGTGTGTGTGTGTGTATATATATATATACCTCGCAACCTGGGTAAATGGCACTACCTAGAAGAATCCTCCACCTTGTGTGACTGTGAAGCAGAACAAACAACTCTGCATCTGTATGCTTGCCCACACTGCCCTGTCTCATGCACAGAGGAAGAACTGCTTAAAGCTACAGACAATGCGGTTGCTGTTGCCTGTTTTTGGTCTAAAATTATATAGCTGCTTGTGTTCCCTCCATTTTTTCAGTTTTATACTTGGTTTAATTATGCAATGCTTTTGACACACAATAAGTAAATAAATAAATAAAATCTGACAAACTGTCCAGGAAAGGGTTAGTGGGAGAAGTCATGCAATGAAGGCTTTAAGATACTTTGCATAGTTTCCAAAATATTCTGCAAGTGATGACAGAATATTTCAATAGCAGTTCTAAGTTCTGGATTCATTCAGCATACAGATCCTGCAGACCATCAGCTTACATGCCCGTTTTATATATACTTCTGTGCCATCTTGCCTTCTCACTTTCAGCCCAGAATACTGGCTTTTTATGTTTTATTTTTTGTTGTTCCTCCTGGTATTCTTTTTACTGGCAAGGGTCAATCTGCCTGCCTTGTTTAACGTTTCAAATTGCCCTTGTTCTCCTCCAAAATACCTGGAATATTGGAAGCAAAATTATATAACCAGGTTGCATCAATTTATATAAAGCTATAGTTACTTCAGACAGAAAGTTCATGTTCTAAATTGTTCTGTCTGCATCAAAAATAATTGTATGATTACGTATTGGCCTGATTTTCTACTTAGTCTTTGTTCCTGGCAAACTCATTTTATGTAATGAACAGCAATGAGATGTTCTTGTTTGATTTGTACACTGGTAGAAATCTGTATTTTATTTTCAAAATCAAGTATTCGGAATTAAAGATTTGGACAAACGGTGTAGAATTAAACATTTGGGCCCATAAATCAAAGTAGACCTGATTTTGCTTTATCTTCACCTCATCTGCTTTGAATTTTGCGTATCTTCCCGAACAAAGCCATGTTTGTGAAGGATATTAAGTTTTGTTTGGTCTTCCTCTTCTTTTTAAAGTACTCAGTGGACTTTAATATGATGTTACGATCCCCTAGACTGATTGATATATAAACATAAGACAGATGGTTTAAAGATGAATCTGATAATTCATTTTTCAGTTAGACATGAAGATGCTTTGATTACAGTATGTTTAAGCAATTATAACACAGTTTTCAGTGTTAGTCTCGTTGGTAAGGGAACACATGGGAAACAAGTTGCACGTTCTTCGTGCCCAACAAAGGGTGCACTGTGATGTGACCCATTTTAATTCCGAATGTTAGGTTAGCAACATAGAAATTTAAAATATGTCATACAGCAAGGTAAATAAATTAAACATAGACTCAATATAGAGTTAAGTACATAGTTTTTTTGGCATAAATATTTGTTTTGGAAAGTATTTGTTGCCATATGAAAGGAACCAGTATGTTTAATTTCGGTTTGACTTTGCATGCAGCTTGTTAAAAAGGCACATGACTTGTTTTTAAAGTTTACAAGACCCCTAGCTATATAATGCAGGTTTTTTATTATATTTTATTTTTTGAGAAAAGGTTTTTAAGGCTACATGTTATGCGGAAAGGGATAAACAGCATTCAGAAGAATCACTCAAAAAGTCTATCACTTAAGTGGCTGAGAGGGAAAAGGAAGGGGCCTGAGGCTCTTAGGAATTGTGGGAGTTGAAATCCAAAACTCCTGGATGGCCCACGTTTGCCCATGCCTGTTCTATCATGTTCTAAATCACATTTGTACAATTATCAATTGGCATGTTTCAGTGCTAAAAATTGTAATTTTACAGACAACCTTTTATTAAAGAGTATTCAAGTCACAAAATGTAATCAACTAATTAACAGAATGCATAATTTGCATCTTATGAATGTTTTCCCTGTCTCCTTTCAATAGGATAATTGATCGCTTGGATGGTGTTCGTCTGTTATGGTCGTTATTGAAAAACCCTCATCCAGATGTCCAGGCAAGTGCAGCTTGGGCTATCTGTCCTTGTATTGAAAATGCAAAGGTAAGAAGACACATTGTAAACAAATACTTCTAGACCAGTGTTTCTCAACCAGGGGTCGTGACCCGGGGGGGGTCATGAGGGGGTGTTAGAGGGGTCACCAAAGACCACCAGAAAATACAGCATTTTCTGTTGGTCATGGGCATTCTGTGTGAGAAGTTTCTATTGTTGGTGGGGTTCAGAATGCCCTTTGATTTGATTGAACTATAAATCCCAGCAACTACAACCCCCAAATGTCAAGGTCCCCAAACTCCACCATTGTTCACATTTGGGCATATTGAGTATCTGTGCCAAGTTTGGCCCAGAATCATCAGTGCTTGAGTCCACAATGGTCCGGATGTAGGTGGATTACAACTCCAAAACTAGGTGAACTACGACTCCAATGCCCACCAAACCCTTCCAGTATTTTCTGTTGGTTGTGGGAGTTCTGTGTGCCAATTCCATCGTTGGTAGAGTTCAGAATGCTCTTTGGTTGTAGGTGAACTATAAATCCCAGCAACTACAACTCCCAAATTACAAAATCAACCCCCCCCCCCCAACCGCACAGGTATTCAAATTTGGGCGTATTGGATATTTGTGCCAAATTTGGTCCAGTAAATGAAAATACATCCTGTATATCTGATATTTACATTACAATTCATAATACTAGCAAAATTACAGCAATGAAAATAACTTTGTGGTTGGTGGTCACCACAACATGAGGAACTGTATTAAGGGGTTGCGGCATTAGGAAGGTTGAAAACCATTGTTCTAGACTATTGGCAATACATCCATCAAAGAGTTTGAAGGTAGACTTGGCAATAGTAAGTGTGACTGCAAAAGCTACTAAAAGCTAAGATCTGGTAGTTTGTCATATCGTTTCCTTAATTTCACAATATGGAAAATGTTATGATCTATAAAAGTGAAACTGAGTTGCTGTGGGCTTCTTCCTTTTTCTTCTCCACTACAAGCAGCCAGATCCAGGTGTACCTTGGCTGCCTGCATTGGAGTCTGGGCAGAGTGAAGAGTGAGTTGCATCAGCATATCAGAGCACTTGGGTGTATTATGGAATGCAATGTGTCACTCCTTCAGGAGGGTGATAATTGTTGTTTTGGAGGATAGGATATTCGTAACGTCTAAGCAAACTTATTTTGCTATCTTTTGTATTAAAAAAAACAGCAGCACATGTAGGCAACCCAATCATACTAATTCAAGTAGATTTAGATTAATTAGCTGGTTAATTCAATAGCTACAAACCATAACAGTAGAAGTAATTGCTATGACAGAGTGGAAGTGTATTAGCCAATCAAAGCAAATAATTATGAAGAATTGCCGTGAAAAGTGTTCTGAGCACTGTTGATATTGGAAAGTAATTTTGTAGCCATGATACTACTTTATTCCCTGTGGTGAATAATGTAAACATAAAAAATATCCAGAAATTACAAAGTCTCCCTTGTTTCAGGCACAGTTGCCATGTTGATCCCAAACAAAGACAGAGAGGATCCAGAATTATTCAGATATTTTTAATTGGAAAATTGTGGATAACAATATCTTGAACTAGCCTGAACTTCAGCAAGCAAATACCTTTATTTTTATTATCACAACGTTAATTAGACATTCATACCATTTAGTAATACAGTTAGGTTTGATTAAAAATATCATTCCCTAAATTTGATTAAAAATAGCCTTCTCCAAGTCAAAAAAGAAACACAATTAAAGCCCCGGCAGATGGTGCAAAAAGAATCTGTGAACCCACTTCCTCCAAGGTGAACCGTACTACCTAAACTGGGCTCTACAGGTCAATGGAGACTCCAAAACCAAGACCAAGCCATGAGAGTAAAGACAAAGATCCACGCAGAGGAAAAGTGTTCTTACCATACAGCAAAGGAACCGCATAGAGAAGCTGATGAAGAAACACAACATACAAACTATTTACAGACCCACTAAGAAAATCCAACAAATGCTATGTTCAGCAAAGGACAAGAGGGATCCTCTCACCTCTGCAGGAGTCTACCGTGCAGCTGTGGACAAGTATACCTAGGGACCACCAAACGCAGCATTGCCCAAACACGAATCAAGGAACATGAAAGGCACTGCAGACTACTTCAACCAGAGAAGTCAGCCATAGCAGAGCACTTGATGAACCAACCTGGACACAGCATATTATTTAAGAATACAGAAATGCTGAACCACTCTAACAACTACCATGCCAGACTACATAGAGAAGCCATTGAAACCCACAAGCACGTGGACAATTTCAACAGAAAGGAGAAAGCCATGAAAAAGTCTGGCTACCAATATTTAAAAAAAAACCTCTAAAATCAGGACAGTAAATAAAATACAACATTCGGAAAATAGGGGAATTCCAGACAAGAAACAATCAGGGCCAGCGAACACCTCCCAACAAAGGACTCCCCTTTTACTAAAATATTTGGTTCATGTATTCATCGTTTACTTTATGCTGTTAGTTTTCCCTTCTCCAATAATGAAATCTCATGCAATGCAAAAAGTAAAGAGAAGGTGACTTTGTTGGTTGGGTGTGCTTTAGAAATGGTAAGGCCCATGGAGTTGGATAGGGAAATGTAGTCCACAGAGCACTCTTCGTAATTCAGGTTTATTTGCACAGGCACACCATCACATTTTTGGGCAAAAGCAACCAGATTTGATGAATTGGCTTTGACATCTTGCATTTTGTAAGATGTTCTAAATGGAAAATACTACTGATTTGTCTTGTAGAACGCATTTATCTCTAAGGATAAAATATTTATAGACACATAGTCCTTTCAGAGCAGCATTTAGTTTATAGTATTTGTGACTAAGAAGATATTGTGCTTCTAAGACATGAAAAGGGCCTCAAATGTTAATATTTGGCAGACAAGTGTATATGTCATGGGATGACGATATGAAAAGCAGCAAATGGCAAGATCTGTTTCCACAATTCACGTCTGGCCCAAAAAAGTGACTCCAGAAATTCTAATGGATTCCAGTGTGGACTCCTTTAAATATGATTTCTGCTGTGGCACTGAAAAAGTTTGTTTTTTCCCCATCTTCTTAATCTTAAATTAATCTAGTCTTGTTCCTACGTTGTTAAAAAAGATTCTATTATGAAAACAAATGTGGGAAATTAACAAACATAATGACGGAGTTTAGGGACCACAAATATAGCCAGCACATATTTGGGAAATGACAGTGACTTGATAAATCTAGCGGTCATCAAGAGCATTGGATGGAATTGCTCATGTGCACCATATCTCATCTGATACTAAGCAGGCTTAGCTGCAAACGCCACCTTAAAATTCTGTAATCCTTTTGTTTTCATGTAGGATGCTGGTGAAATGGTCCGTTCATTTGTAGGTGGTTTGGAACTGATTGTGAATTTATTAAAATCAGACAATAAAGAAGTCCTGGCTAGTGTGTGTGCGGCAATTACCAACATAGCAAAAGATGAAGAGAACCTAGCAGTTATAACAGATCACGGTGTTGTCCCTTTGTTGTCCAAACTAGCAAATACAGTAAGTAATACCTTTAGTTGTAAGTTATCTTAACACCTGCTAACTTACTGAAATGGTTACCAAACTGTGCTCCTTTAGATGTTCTTAAAATGATCCATTTTCCTCACTTAGGTCAAGAGATTTTCACAAAATCCTTTTCTTGATCATACACGCATATACAGACATTTATATGTGTGTCTGTGTTTCTCTATGTGGATCCGCTCAATATTTTTTTCTGTTTGTGCAGCCAGGATGTGTGTGACACCCAGGTCTTGGCCACTTGCCCACCCCTGTTATGCAAAGTATATATTTGGGGGCAGAAATGACTGTTATTAATATCGTTCTTCTACTTCCAGTTCAAAGACGGAGCCATGTTAGTCAGGAAGATCAGTATGCAAAAGGGATCTTGTAACACATTAGAGCAGTGTTTCTCAACCTGTGGGTCCCCAGATGTTTTGGCCTTCGACTCCCAGATGTCCTAACAGCTGGTAAACTGGCTGGGAGTTTTGGCTGGGCCAAAACACCTGGGGACCCACAGGTTGAGAACCACTGCATTAGAGACTAACCAAGAGACCAAAACTGGTAGCATAAAATTCCTTTGCATACTTCTAGTTCCAATATACAGATGCTTACATCTACAGTTTGACGTCTTTCCAGAGAGCAGCTCTGCAGAGGTAACAACATATGTGACCTACAAAGCCATGCTGAAAGTGTACTTTTATTTGTGCACTTTTATTTATAACAGCTGCAGTCTTGTGTGCCTGGAACCTGTGTGCAGTTCAAAATAGAGTCCACCTGTCTTTTTCTTTTCTCAGACATTTAGAGCAGCCATCAGAATTGCCTCTTCATGCCCCTTCCCTTTAGTACAGTGGTTCTCAACCTGTGGCTCCCCAGGTGTTTTGGCCTACAACTCCCAGAAATCCCAGCCAGTTTACCAACTGTTAGGATTTCTGGGAGTTAAAGGCCAAAACATCTGGGGACCCACAGGTTGAGAACCACTTCTCTAGTAAGAAGAAGCAGCATTAACAGCCCACCCCAACCCCTGGATTAGACAGCTGCTGAACTTGGGAGATTTTGGATATAGTGTAAGGCAAGAGAATAGCCCACACCACTGCATTCAGAAAGGGGCTTAAGTATTCATGTCACCAACATAATGCCAGCCAATGTCATGTGACAATCGTTTCCATTAAAATATTTGAAAGTGCATTTCCATGCTAACCTATTTTCGTCTTTGTTTAGAACAATGACAAACTAAGACGTCATCTAGCTGATGCCATTTCTCGCTGTTGTATGTGGGGAAGCAATAGAGTTGCCTTTGGCAACACCAAAGCCGTTGCTCCTTTGGTTCGTTACCTAAAGTCAAGTGACCCAGCCGTTCATCGAGCTACTGCTCAAGCCCTCTATCAACTGTCAGAAGATATAAACAATTGCATTACTATGCACGAAAATGGAGTGGTAAAGGTAAGAAAAGTTTAGTTAACTCTATGATAAAATGTCAAAACAGGTGGTGGATTTGTACTTCTAAAGGCGAGTGAATGAGGGACATGTGAAATGATTCTCCTATCAAAAGTTACAGGTCTATGATGGCTAGAAATGGATGCCAAATCTGCTTTGGGTGTTAGTCTGTGCTTTATAGAGGCTAGTGAATGGCAAATCTGCTCTTGATTTTAATCCTACCTTTGAAGGAACTATCCAAACCACCCTTGGATGACTCACTTAACACATTCAGACTAAACCCCAAACCAGAGTCACCAACAGACTGACATAAAAGCCAGCAGCTTCCATTAAGCTCATGGTAGGAAGAAGACAAGTAATCTTTGTGATCTAATGTCAGTGTTTTGAGTTTTTCATTCCTGATGTAAAATAGATTTCTCCAGTTCTACTTTATTTCAAGGCCTGCTAATTAAGTGGGTAAGAAAACCTGGAGTGTAACAACTTCATGCTGAATCACATTACGAGCAGATATTTTGAGTTCAGTTGCACTTAATTTTTTTTGTCACGTGGCCACTGCATTGATTTATAATCAGAACAAGCTAGAAACGTCAGGTGTCATTCTGGGGAGATTCCTAACTTTTTGAATAGCCAGCAAAAGATTTTGAGCTGCTGTGCTCAGCCATTACTTGGTGATTTAGGTGTCTGAATCGGCAATAACAGAAACAAGGAACACGAAAGGCACTGCAGACTACTTCAATCAGAGAAGTCAGCCACAGCAGAGCACCCGATGAACCAACCTGGACACAGCATATTATTTGAGAACACAGAAATGCTGGACCACTCCAACTGCCATGTCAGACTACACAGAGAAGCCACTGAAATCTACAAGCATGTGGACAATTTCAACAGAAAGGACAAAACCATGAAAATGAACAAAATCTGGCTACAGGTATTAAAAAAAACCCTCTAAAATCATAACAGTAAATAAAGAACAACACTCAAGTAACAGGGAAATTCCAATCAAGAAACAATCAGGGCCAGCTAATCACCTCACAACAAAGGATTCCCCAGACAGTAAGAACCACACCTTGAAACTGCCAGGCCATTAAATGCTAATTAAGGTGGCCAATTGAAACATTCACACCTACCTCAAACAGACAAGAGTTCTTTCTCCCACCCTGGACATTCCACAGATACATAAAACCCATTTTCCTAGTTTCCAACAGACCTCACAACCTCTGACGGTGCCTGTCATAGATGCAGGTGAAATGTCAGGAGAGAATGCTTCTGGAACATGGCCAGACAGCCCAGAAAACTCACAACAGCCCATAACAGAAACAGTTCTTCTGCATTCATATCCCCTCCTGCCCTTTATAAACAATAGATTTCAATGTTGGAGATAGCCTAGAATCCAGTGCACAGCAATCACCGCACATTTGAGCTAGCCCATTGTCACTGTAATACCAGGTGAGAGAGGGTAAGTGGAATTAAGATGAGCTTATTGTTGCCATGCATCCCACTCGGGTAAGTTTCTAATTTAGGAACATTTGGATTACAAATTTGGACCTTGGCACCCTCATCTTGGCATGTTCTGAATCTCTTTTAGTCTTATAAAAAGACGCCTGTCCCACTAAGCTGTAGGTTTGCTGGAGCGGTTCAACAGAAGCTGTGCCCTGCAGCTCTTTTGGTGATAAATGAGCCGTTTCAAATAAATGGAGCTGCAGCCAATTTGTGCAGAAGGAATCATTAAAACACAGTTTTGAAAGTTCAGAATGTATAAACAAGGTATGCTAAACCCAAATATATACCGCTCATTTTTAATGGAAAAGGTTGCTGTTCATTGGCTCTTCCAACTTTTCACAAGATTTGCCAAAAGGCCGAAGAATCTGGCACAAGCCATAGATAACAGTTCCATCTTTCATCTAGGTTTCTCTTCTGTATTTATCTTGCTTCAGAGAATGCAGGGAATGTCCTTTTCTTCTGACTTGGCACTTGTTCCAAACCACAGAAATACACTGAGCAGCTTCTTGCAATTGTCTTAAGACAAATGTCGTTTTAGGAGACTTTCTGAAAAGTCAGGCTGGGATCCAGGGAGCCCTGTACATAAGTGGAAAGCATTTTCAAGCATTCACGGGGGTCACTGGTCATTTTGTGCATTTTCTCTGCATGTACTATAGTACTTTACTTACTTTGGCAATCCCTCATTGTCCAAGGATGATGGCCTTCCAAGTGCAGTGTCTTGGCAGTGGGTCCATAGGTGACTCTGGAGCCCTATTATTTACCTGTATGTTCTTCCGCAGTGAGGGAATAGGTTTCTAGGTTGAAGGCAGTCCCAGTCATGGTTGTTTGATGTGCGTTTCTCTTGACATGTTTTTCCCTTTTGCCCTCCATTCGTGCCTCTTCAAATTCCACAGCACTGCTGGTCACAGCTGACCTCCAGCTAGAGTACTCAAGGGCCAGGGCTTCTCAGTTCTTGGTGTCTATGCCACAGTTTTTAAGGTTAACTTTAAGCCCATCTTTAAATCTCTTTTCTTGTCCCCCAACTTTCCGTTTTCCATTCTTGAGTTGGGAGTAGAGTAACTGCTTTGGGAGACAGGCATTCAGATAACATGTCCAATTCAGCGGAGTTGATGACGTTGGTGGTCTTTGCTTCTTCCAGCATTTGTCTGCCTGTCTTCCCAAGAGATTTGCAGAATTTTTCAGAGTGATGGAATCATTCCAGGAGTTGACAATGATGTCTGTAGACAGTCAGTGTATAAAACAGGGTTGGGAAGAAAATAGCTTTATAAACAAGCACTTTGGTATCCCTACGGATGTCCCAATCCTCAAACACTCTTTGCTTCATTTGGAAGAATGCTGCACTCGCAGAGCTCAGGCGGTGTTGTATTTCAGCGTCAATGTTGACTTTTGTGGAGAGGTGGCTGCCAAGGTAGCGGAAATGGTCAATATTTTCTAAAGTTACTATATACTATAGTATGGCTCTAGAAAGCCCCTTGATCCACACAAGTGATATTTCAGTGGATGTCAACGTGCTTCCTTCATCTGAAAGGAAAGCCAAAGAAGTCCCTGTGTCCAGTTGAGATGCCACGTGTGGACCTTTAGATCAAGGCCTAGCGTAGTCTATTTTTTGGCCAGGGGTTCTCCTGAACAATAATTAGTTGTAAACAGTGCTATTGTAATCAAAATTTAAATGTGAACTTAGCAAATTGAGTTTCTTTTAACTTGCAGATATTGGGCTTAGCACACTAAGGCAAGCTGCCAGGTAATTACTTTTGGCAAAGAGCTGAGTAAAAATAGTTTCCTTGCAAAAGAAACTATTCACAGAAGCTGAACATAAGAAATAACAATAAAATGGTATTTCAGACTTCTTGACTAGTCTTTTTGGCATTCACTGAAAATATGATACATTTCTGCCTGAAAACAGTAAGTTTATTTTTACCAATTAGGTAGGTTTTTTTATCTGTTGAGTGAGAACACTCTGGGGTCTCAATGTTAAATGCAAACGTTTAGTGGAAAAAAAGCATAATTTCACCCTAAAAGTATGCAAATAGCAGGATCATAACCATTTTGGGAAGTAACTTCCCAAAATGTCTAAGTTTGGTCATTTTGATGATGCCACAGTGAAGCTTAGTAGAAAAATCTTAGCAGGTTTGGTGGGGCTTTGTGTGTATTTATATGCGAAGAGCAGCTGTTAGACACATTTACTTTTGTGAAAGCAAACTGAAAGAGGAGGAAGATCTTACATTTACAAGAAAGGTCTTCATTCATGCCTTTGTGGATACAGAGGAAAGGAATGCATTTCATTCTTTCCTTCGTCTTTGTTGGCTGGTTGCTTGGCAGGCTTCAAGCAAGTGGTGAAGGTTATATATCTATTTGTGGTCTTTGAGTCATGGAGCACCTTTGAAAAATCTTCAGTCTTGTAATAATTCTGAGGTCCAGCAGCTGGTGGGACAATTTAGGACTGGATAGGGTTCTGAGAATGAAAAATGCAAAGCTTCTGTTCAGATCTACTCTACAGGTGGGCATACATTTCAAATGACATTTTTGACCCTTGGAGTCCTGTAGAAGTGTTCACAATTTATGTGTTTGACATTTTCTTCAATCCAGATCTCATGCTTGAGCTTGAATTAAAGCCCATTGTTGCTATTTTTACCTTTGGTACACAGACAGGATTTTTTTTCTTTAGGAAGTTATAGATGCTTATTACATGTTTTTGAATTGTCAGAAGGCACCCGATGCTTTCCCACAGCAGATTGTAACTTACTTGATTATATAGAAAATGCATGATATTTCATATATTTTGTCAATAGGTATTATTTTAAATAGTAATAGTAACCAATTAAAATAGGGATTTTTTTTCTGAAAGATATTCAACACGTTTGTAGTTTTTGGGGGGGGGGGATTGCACTTATTGGGACCATGGATTTTTTTTCGTGTCAGGAGCGACTTGAGAAATTGCAAGTTAATTTTGGTGTGAGAGAATTGGCTGTCTGCAAGGACATTGCCCAGGGGATGCCTGGATCTTTTACTATCCTGTAGGCTTCTCTCATGTCCCTGCATGAGAAACTGGAGCTGACAGACGGGAGCTCCCTCCACTCCTCAGATTCAGACTGCTGACCTTTTGGTCAGCATTTTTGCTGGCACATGGGTTTAACCCATTTTGCCACCATGGACGGCTGGTTGGAACACTTCTCTGCATTTCATATACCCAAGAACAAATAAAATGACATCCTGGAGAACTATGTCATCATATGATCTGAAATGGTGATGTGGCAAACAGAATTCACATGTGGCTCATGTATCTATTGTTCTTTCTTTTTTTAAAACTAAGGTATCCATTAAACTATATCAATAGCACTTCAGTGAACAATAGTAGTAACCTGGATGTGTTATGTATAAGCATCATATGCACTAGAACTTCTATTCTTGCTTTAGGTCTATTGACAAAAGGCCTTTGTGCAGTTACTGAATATTTCAGATCTCTATACATTTATGCTGTCTTTAGATAGCTTTTAAAAATATGGGCT